GCGATGGAGCCCCAGCCGAAAGGGCCATGCATATAGTAGCCTTCCTTCCGCAGAACCTGAGCATCCCCACCTGCACCCACAGCCTCGGGCCCACTTGGGGCCAGTGGGGGCGGAGTGCAATACCTCTACCATCCAGGTGGTGGTGCTGGCTCACCTGCTCAGCTCAGAACCATGAAGGGATGGGGCAGGTGTCCAGCACCTGAGGTGCTGCTTGCTCGGATCCATGCTTCTCCCGGCCCTGTGTGCCAGCCCATGCCCCTCCCGTGTTGGGGGTGGAGGTGGGGGCTGGGAAGATGAGAGAGCTCAGATTGCAAGTTCTCCGGACACCCCAGGGTCTCCTTTGGAGCCAAGACCGGGCAGGGGTTTGGAGGGTTAGGGGAGACTTGGCTCCCTGCCTTCACATCCATGTTCCTTGTCCCAGGCTGGCCGCCCTGACAACACTCACCTTGGGCAGCTCATGGCCTGAGTAGGGACCTCTCCTATTGATGAGTTGACACCGAGACACTTCCCAGGGGGACAAGGGACAGCTGGGGCTCATCAAACTCCAACTGGGAGCTGGGTTCCTCACCTGAGACCACTGGATACTCCACCCCCTATCCTGTCTCCCCCACGAGCACCACCCGGGGAAGCCACATATCACCTATGGCTCGCCCATCTCCCAGCCCCATAGGCACAGGTGGGCATAGACACAACCCTGTGGAGATTGGGTATGGCCCCTTGGTCCCGGGGTTGTCCTACCCATGCAAGGTACTCTGGTCCCTGGTGGCGACACTCCTTCAGCTCCCCTCCAGGCTCAACTCTGTCCTGGTGTCACCAAGGCTGTACAGATAAGATGTGAGAGTTTCCCCCTTCCTGTAGGAGAGGGAAGTGCGGACCTCATCAGAAGACCCCCGAACAAACAAACAAACAAGCAAACAAACCATATTGTTGAGAATGAGAGAGGTCAGAGCAGAGACCCCAAACCCTTCTGTAGACAATGGGACATCCCCTCACAGAAGGGTCACAAGGAAAGGATGAGTCAACCAGGGCACAGTATAGCACTGATGAAACACACAATATTCCTGTGATTCTTTGAGGCTTCCTCACCCCGCACCATCATGACTCCTGTCCTGACTTTCACTGCGGGCTAGGCTGGAGTAAGTACACTGTTAGGGATAAGAGCTCAAGGCACACGGAATCCAGGTCAGATAAGCCCTTCAGGAACAGAAATGGGAGTAGGGATACCAGAATGGTAGGAGGAAGTTGGGGGGGGGAGGGCGAACCGATCGCAATAATAGACATATTATCCTCCCCCCCCCAGGGGGATGAGCAACAGAATCCATGGGTGAAGGGAGACAGTGGTTGGTGTAAGATATGAAGATGATAATAAGTTATAATTTATTAAGGGGTCATGAGGGTGGGAGGGGGGAGGGAGGGAAAAAAGAGGAGCTGACATCAAGAGCTCAATAGAAAGTAAATGTTTAAAAAATAATGATGGGAACATATGTACAAATGTGCTTGATACAATGGGTGTATGGATTGTTATAAGAGCTGTAAGAGCCCGCAACAAAATGATCTTTAAAAAAACAACATACACACACACACACACACACACACACACACACACACACGGCCTCAGGAGCTCACAGCCTCTCCTGCAAAGTACTGCTGGGCTTTAGAAATGCACTCCAGAGTCCATGGCCCCTTCCCGGCAGCTCTTCTGTGGGTGCCCACACCCCTTCCCTGAAAGAGAAGCTGGGGTCAGGTGTGCAGATGGAAGTCCAACTGTGTCCTCACCCGGCACCCAGGGAGGATGAGCTGCCCAGCCCAGGGCCTCCCACCTCTCTGGGGAGCGTACATGGTGCTGGGCTCTCTGGGGCCACCTGCCCGACACTCTGAGGAGCAGGGAACTGTGCTTCCAGCCAGCAGCTCGGCAGGTGGTGGGAGGTGCCGGAGGTGGGGAGAGAGCCAGGGAACAAAGGGCAGAGGTGCCTGCCTCCAGGAGGGCTGGAATGTTCCCTGTGGTCTTCCCCAGAACCCCAGGGAGCATGTCACCTGAGCTGCCCCCTTCCCCTGAGAGGCCTCCCTGCCCATGCCATAGCTCCAGAGCCCGGGAGGGGGCCTGCTGAAGATGCTGGAAAGCACCCAGCGTGGGTTGCCCTTTGTCTTCCCAGCAGTCGGCTTCCTTAGGAGACTTCTGCCCGGGCCGGGAGGCTGTGTTGGGTCTGCAGACAGAGCTGGGCTCCCGAGTGCCCTGGTGGAAGGCAGGGCAGACAGGATCGATGGGAAGGTGGAATCCGTGTGGCCTCTGGTTTAGAAAGGATCTGGAGTCCTTGCCAGCCCAGTCTGCTCTGCTCTCTGCATGTGCGGGGGAGGTGGCCTGCTGGGTGCACTGGCCTGGGCCTTGGGAAACCCTCTGCGTTGGCTGTGGGTCAGCAGGTAGCCCAGTGCCCTGAACTGGATGGGGGAGTCTCGCGTGATGTGTTGGGGTATAGGTTAAGGTGACCAGATGTCCCACTTGTGGCAGGACAGTCCCGATTTTTAAAAATTTTTCCTGTATCCCGCGGCATTTTAAAGAAGTCCCGATTTTTTGAAAGAATCCATGACAAGCTAGGGTATACGGTTTTTAGCTGCCATGTGGCTATTTCTCCAGGATATGGGTTTTATCAGGGGTGTCCCACATTTGTCCCACTTTACCAATGTTAAAATCTGGTCACCTTAGCATAGGTGTGTGTGGCTTTCCCTGCTGGCTGCGTGGCTTCTCATCTGTCCCTTCCCTCCCCGCTACCCCCATCGTGTCCTCAGAAGCATGAGCGTGAGCAGGACGATGGAGGACAGCTGCGAGCTGGACCTGGTGTACGTCACCGAGAGGATCCTGGCTGTCTCCTTCCCCAGCTCTGCCAACGAGGAAAGCTTCCGCAGCAACCTCCGCCAGGTGGCCCAGATGCTCAAGTCCAAGCATGACGGCAACTACCTGGTGAGGGCAGAGCCTCTGTCCCCCAGGCCTGCTCCCCTCTCCGCTCACCTGCTCGCTACCTCCTTGATGCTGGTGTCCCCGCCCATGTGCTCTGGTCCCAGGCCATCCTAGGGGGACTGTCACAAAGTGTACCCACGCTGGTTGGCTTGTGGTACAGGAATTGGTGGTCCCAGCCTCTGGAGACCGAGAGCCTGGGATAGAGTGAAGGACAAGCTCTTCCCGGCCTTGCTTCTGGCCTCTGGTGACAACTGGTGATGCCTGGTGTCCCCCTCTCATCTCTGTCCCTGTGGTCCTTAGCACAGGGCTGGCTGGCGGGTGGGGAATGGGGACCACTCCATGGATGTCACCACTGTAACACGGTGGAGGCCGTCTCTCTGGGGATGTGTGCATGGACAAGAGTACTGGGAGGCTTCCGGCTTTCACGAGGCCAGGAGCCCGGGGGTCTCTGAGCTGTGTCATCTTCCCTCTGTCCCGCCCAGCCAGGATGGTGCTGCCCCGTCTCGAGTCTTGCTCTCCCCTTTCTCCTCCTCGCTTCTAAGTGAGGGGTCCTTCAGAGGAAGTTAGAGATGACACCTCGGTCCCCAGTGGGATGCTCGTTCCAGTGCCCCTCTCTCCACCTGCCCCCCACCCTCGATGACCTCTGTCTTTTTCTCCTTCCAGCTTTTCAATCTCTCTGAGCGCCGACCTGACATCACGAAGCTCCACACCAAGGTGAGCTGGTGGTCACGTGTTTGTGGGGGGAGGTTTCTCTTCACCTGCAGAGAACGAGGGGGGATGCCCACTGGTGGCGGGGGCATAGGAGAATCTTGGCAGAAGGGCTGGGACCATTTGAAAGGTCTACTCACAGTTAAAAAGCCACAGCACACACGGGACTCGGCTACGGTAGAAACTGTTCATCGTTTTCACAATCCTGTTACTAAGAGTAAGGCTGGGCCTGGCGCTGCCCACTGTGCCTGGCCCCTGGGGCCACACAGGATCTCTGGGCTCAGGTGGGGCTTGGGAGATGATTGCTGAAAAGTACCTCGGATTGAAAAATTTGGGTTTAAACTGCTTTAGCCACTGACGCTCCTCCCTCCTGGGCTTGCTGGTGGGTCTTGAGTGGCTTTGCTATGGCTGTTGTTGGCTCTCGACTCCCGGCTCCCGGGGCCCATCCCTGGAGGCCCCTGGGTCTCTCTTTGCACATCTGAAAGTAGATAGTCTCCTTAGAAGTCTTCTTTTCCAGCTGCTCCCCAGCAGAAATCCTCTCTGACGTTAAAGTTTTATGAGTTCAGGGGTCTGTGCTTCTGCCCCTTTGGGCTTTCCTTGGCTGGCCTGAAATGACGTTGTAGAAATGATGTTGGCCTATGTGGCCTGGGATCTGGATAAGACCCCCCCTGCCCCCTGCAGGGAGTCCCCCGCATTTCTAACCTGAGCCAGGCTGCTCTGCATGTTTCAAGGTCAGGGCCTGCTGGAAGAGGCCCCAAGCCTTTCTTTTATCGGCATAAATGGAACCTGAGGGTCTGAGAGAGGCTGTGACTGGCCTGCGGCCCCACAATGGGCTGAGCCCAGGGCCCCGTGTCTTCAGTTCCGGGACAGCGTCAAACAGAGCAGGGCCAGGGTCCCGCTCCTGCTGGCACTGCCCTTGGTGTAGGCATCCAGTGTGTATGCCACTCCTGCTCTCCTGGCTGGCTCAACCGGCGTCTGCCAGTGTCTCACTTGTGGCTCCGACCCCAGGTTTTGGAGTTTGGCTGGCCTGACCTGCACACCCCTGCGCTGGAGAAGATCTGTGGGGTCTGCAAGGCCATGGACACCTGGCTCAA